CCCCAAAACCCCAAAACCCCAAAACCCCAAAACCCCAATTTTCAATCTTGGGATTGAATTAAAATAACTCTAAGGCTCTAGTACAAGATGTCCGAAAAGAAAATAGTAAAAATAAATGAAGTCGATCCTCTTCTGAAGCTAACTGAGAAACAAGTTGAGGAGCAGCTTGGCAAATGTGAAATTGGCAGTTCAGGTAAGGCACCAAACCTCTATCATATTTTCTATGTTCCTTCATTCTATAAATTTATCCACATGAAATCTCCAATGAAACTAATGGATCTGTGGGACTTTAGAATAAAATAAATGTTAATCTCTCTATAGCCACTTCCTTGCGAGTAACGAAAGATAAAATTCAAGTAATGGAGGAAAGTGTCGAGGCTGACCTCAGTGACTCAGATACAGAGCCTGAGGACTATATTTTCCAAATGAAATAGACAAAATGCCGGCATGCTTAATAAAATGTCTCCTGAAGACCAAGCCCTTAAGTAAGATTTGCTTTAAACTTTTGTTAATATTTCATCCAGCAAGCTGAGCAGTATGCAAAATATTGTGAATCGAAGAAAAATTCAAAGATTTAAGAAGGAAAATGATGACTTGAAGAGGCATCTAGAGAGGTTAAGAATGGCTCACAGGCAGAATACTAAAAATTTGCAAAGTCTTAGTCAAGCAGAGGCATACCAAAAAGTCCAAGAGAAGTTAGAAGAGTCCACAGAGGTTTTTAACAAAGAGATCTCTTTCTTACAAACCCAGTTTAATAAAATTCGTTATGAAATTATTAAAAAGGAGCATACTTTAGCAAAGTTCCTCCAAATTGCTTATGACCAGGAAATGTACTTCAACGAGCTCAAGAGGATAGTTCAGCGTAAACAATTCAGTAAGGCTGAAGAGATATGCAGAATGGCCAGTCCTATCTCAGTTGGCTCCCTGATGAACTTCGAGACAGTTGGAGAGTTCAATCTTCAGAATAAGCTCATACGAGCACAATATGATTTGCTCGGCACCCAAAATATTTCAGTGATGCATGATAACACTAAGAACAAGAAGAGGATCTTACATCAAATGAGCAAATCTCCGATGGTAAATCTTGGAGATGACCTTGACTCTCAGTATATGTCAAAACAAATAAAGAGTCTTAGAAAAGGCAAAAAGGGATTGATGGAAGAGATCGACAAGGTAGACCAGCTCAAGAAAGAATTAAGTTACTCCAGAATGGGTAAATTTTTATACCTAAATTTTAGAATATGACACACTTCGTAGCATGTACATGGAAACTCTCCAAAAGTTAGACCATAAGGAAGAGGAAGTTGATAAAATGAAGTCTGATATAGAACTATACAAGAAAAATCAGAATTTAGAATATATTCGTAAGTTTTTACACTTTATTATTAAGGAATGAAAAAGAGGCAAGAGCATGCCCAAGAACAAGCTACAAAGAAGGTGGAAGATGTAAAGAATAAGTATAAAGGATACGTTGAGAATCTTAGAAAAGAGCTCAAGCTATCTAATAAGCTGAATACCCGCTTAAATGAGTATATCGATAAGCTAAAGAAAGAGCTGGTATTCGCCAAAATTATTATGAAAGATCCTAAAATGTCCATAAAGGCGAATAATATAATGAACTATAGTTTATATAAAGTTGATACATCTGCTAGTACTTCTAGATCTATACGATCAACAAAGAGACCCTCGTTAAAATCATCTTCTTCACGAAGATTGACATCTCATACTCCTAATGGCAGCTTTAGTTTCTGTCCTTCTAAAAATGTGGAAAGCTACATGAAGTCAATGGGTACAAGTTCTCCTCCAATATCGTCAAATGGAAAGCTGAATATTCATAATTTCTTAAAACTAAACTCCCCTGAGAGGTAAATGGGAATAAATTTAATAAATTTTCTGCACAAACGGGGTTTTGGGGTTTTGGGGTTTTGGGGTTTTGGGGTTTTGGGG